AATACTATATATGTGGCCTTGGGCCCCCAGCATACACTATTATTACAATACTATATAGGTGGCCTTAGGCCCCCGTCATACAAATACTATATATGTGGCATTGGGCCCTCAGCATACACTATTCTATTATTACGATTATATATAGGTGGCCTTAGGCCACCGTCATACAAATACTATATATGTGGCCTTGGGCCCTCAGCATACACTATTATTACAATACTATATAGGTGGCTTTAGGCCTCCGTCATACAAATATAACACTATTACGTGCTACTAATAACTTACCGAGTGCTGCACAGGCGCTTGTCTTGTTTTTTTCCTATTTAATGCTATATCTATGCCTATGGGTAATACAATCGGCATATAACATGGTAACTTGTTTTAGCATTACTAAAATATGTAAACAAAAAGAACTATTTTCGGTCGCGGAAGGGTTATTGTCGGAGTGAGCTGACGGGGGCTGGAGGCCACCGGCGGGGGACGAGGTGGCCTAATATATAAAGCCACACTTGAATATGGATATCTGTCGCCTGCGCTGCGCATACCAGCCAGTACACAATCTGGCTACGTTAGTTTGTTAGCGCATGCGCAATATATCACCAGAAAAATTATATTTTGTGATGAATATGCATTTAAAATGGTTAGGTGGTATCTCAGCATAGATTTCCCTTAAAAACTTTTATCTATAGACCTGTGTTTATAATTAGGAGAGCGCTCTAGCTTGTAGGGTACAAAACACATACTTTATGCCCTCGCGTCCTTCTCCTTGCCTCCCCTGTCCCTCGCTTAGCCTCCTTCTTCTTCTACCGCACCCAGCTATCTTCCCTGCTGCCGTTCCTCAGTCTCCCATCCCCACTCCCCCTCAGCACGCTATATTATGAAGTTTGCCTCAGACGGCACTGCACGCCTAACACGGTGCGCGCGCATGCGCAATATCTCCCGAGAGAAATCGTATTTTGCAAAGATTATGCATTTAAAATGAAGAGGAGTTATCCTAGCATAGATTTATATGATAACCGAGAGAAATGGTATTTTGCAAAGATTATGCATTTAAAATGAAGAGGAGTTATCCTAGCATAGATTTATATGATAACATTCCATCAGCAGACATCATTTAAGAAATGGGTGGAAGACTTTGCATGTAAGTTCCCGGCTGCGTATACCAGCCAGTACACAATCTGGCTACGTTAGTGTGTTAGCGCATGCGGCAATATCTCACCAGAGAGCTTATATTGTGTGATGAATATGCCGTTAAGAATGGTTAGGGGTATCTCAGAATAGATTTCCCTTATAAAACTTTTACAGTAGACCTGTGTTTATAATTAGGAAAGCGCCCTAGCATGTAGAATACAAAACATCTACTTTATGCCCTAGTATGTAGGATACAAAACACCTACTTTATGCCCTTAGGCTAGCGTCCTTCCCCTTGCCTCCCCTGTCCCTCGCTCAGCCTCTTTCTTTTTCTACCGCCCCCAGCTATCTTCCCTGCGGATTTTCTGCAGTCTCCGCATCTCCTCTCCCCTCAGCCAAGCTATAATATGCAAGTTTGCCTGCAGACGGCACTGCCAACGCCTAAACACGGTCGCGCGCAATGCGCAATATCGCCGCAGAAAAATCGTATTTTGCAAAGATTATGCGCATTAAAATAAAGCAGCGAGTTATCCTAGCATAGATTTATATAATACATTCGCATCTGCTAGATATCATTTAAGAAAGTAGGAGGAAGACCTCGTATGGTAAGGTGCCGCGCTGCGTATGACGAGCCAGTACAACATCTGGCTACGTTAGTGTGTTAGCGCATGCGCAATATCTCCAGAGCAGTTATTATTGTGTGATCTATATGCATTAAATGTGTTAGGGGCTATCTCGCATAGACTTCCCCTAATAAATTTTATCAGTTGACCTGATGTTTATAATTAGGAGCAGCGCCTAGCATGAAGGGTACAAAACACCTACTCTTATGCTCTAGCATGTTGGTACAAAACACCCTACTTTATGCCTTAAGCGTCGCTTCCCCTTGCCCTCCCTGTCCCTCGCTCAGCCTCTTTCTTCTCTAGCGCCCCCAGCTTAATCTTTCCTGCGGATTTCCTCAGTCTCCAATCCCCCTCCCCCTCAGGCAAGCTATATATGAAAGTTTGCCTTCAGCTAGCAACTGCCGCCCCCCTAACACGGTCGCGCCGCGGCCACTGCGGCAATATCTCCGAGAGAAATCGTAATTTTGCAAAGGATTATGCATTTAAAAAAAAAGAGGAGTTATCTAGCAAAGATTTATAATGATACATTCCATCATGGCAGACATTAATTTAAGACAATGGGTGGAAGCTTTTGCCATGTAAGTTACCGGCTGCAGTATACCAAGCCAGTACACAATCTGGCTGCACGTTAGTGTTGTTAGCGCATGCGCAAATATCTACACCAGAGGAGCTTATATTTTTGATAGAATATGCATTTAAAATGGTTAGGTGTATCTCAGCATAGATTCTCCCTTATAAAACTTTCTATCAATAGACCTGCTTTTTGGGTTTTTTATAATTAGGGAGCGCGCTAGCTTGCTAGGGTACAAACACCTTACTTTATGCCCTCGCGCTCCTTCCCTTGCCTCCCTGTCCCTCGCTCTCGCCTCCTTCTTTTCTACCGCCAACCCAGCTGCATTGATTGATTGTATTGATTGATTGATTGATTGATTGATTGATTGATTAATTGATTGATTGATTAGATACAGGCATGCTGAGACGATCTTGTTTTAGCTGACGGAGTGTGGGGTCCGGTAGATTCCAGCCGCTGTGTCTCAGCTGAACTAGCAGCAATATTCACAGAGGTATGCGCTCCCCTCATATCTCCGCTTACCCCCACCGCTCCCTCCGCGTGTAAGTCCTATCTACGGCGCCATGAGATCGTGATCAAACCCTAATCACACGCCCCCTCTAGCCACACCTATATTAGGGCGACCACCTCCATTCACACCTGTATTACGACGCACCATCCATTCACACCTGTATTAGCGACCACCTCCATTCACACCTGTATTAGCGACCACCTTTATTTCACACCTGTATTTAGCGACCACCTCCATTCACATTGTATTAGCGACCACCTCCATTCACACCTGTATTAGCGGCCATCTCCATTCACACCTGTGTTAGCGGCCACCTCCATTCACACCTGTATTAGCGGCCACCTCCATTCACACCTGTGGTTAGCGAACCACCTTCATTCACACTGTATTAGCGGCCACCTCAATTCACACCTGTGTTAGCGGCCACCTCCATTCACACCTGTGTTGACGCCACCTCCATTCACACCTGTGTTAGCGGCCATCGCCTGTCCCACCTGTGTTAGCGGCCATCTCCATTCACACCTGTGTTAGCGGCCACTTCCATTCACACCTGTATTAGCGGCCACCTCCATTCACACCTGTGTTAGCGCCGATCGCCTGTCCCACCTGTATTAGCGCGCCACCTCCATTCACATCTGTGTTAGCGGCCATCGCCTGTCCCACCTGTGTTAGCGGCCACCTCCATTCACACCTGTGTTAGCGGCCATCGCCTGTCCACCTCGTGTTAGCGGCCATCTCATTCACACCTTGTTAGCGGCCACCTCCATTCACACCTGTGTTAGCGGCCATCTCCATTCACACTTGTGTTAGCGCCACCTCTATAGGGACGACATCTCTCTATATAAAGAGTATATTATGGGATTTGCTTGAGTGGCAGTGTTACACAGTGAAACAATCTCTATTAGATAATATACCTGTCTGTAGAATCACTTTTCATGGTTTACATTCCGTAACCATTTTATATACAGGTCTGACTTGTACTAATTTCTTACTGCGCATGCGTAAGCATCACCTCCGTGCGTGTTCAATTTTGGCAGATGGACATGACTGAGCCGAATAAGAACACGACTATGGCCATGCTGGACGGTGCGCCACCATCGGCGATCCTCGGCTGTCGCTGCAGCTGCTGACGTGCGCTGGCGCGGGAACGACATCTTCACGCTAGCTCCTGGAGACATCACGCCGACCGAGAGACACCGATTTATTAAGGCGAGTGTGAGAATTCTGAGATATACGCAGCATAAGTAATAATACGATGGTAATACGTACGTTAATTATATACGTATTATATATACATATATATATATATACGTGTTGTTCGATGTATATTAACTATATACGTACATTTCACGAAGGATTTGGCTTGCATGATAGCGACGCCACGCTTTGATAATTTTGCTATGCTGGTCGAACAGTTCTTAGATTTATAAAATTATTCAGTTTTAGCGCGTGTGCGCTGGAAATGCCGAGTCCGTTCAAACCACGTGCGTGTTCGTCTGCTCACGCAGGCTTGTCCTGAGCATTGTAGACTCGGCTTACGTCATCGACGCTAGGTGGCAAACGCGTCGCTGCCGCTGCGCGATGCCGCCATGTTGGTTGAGTCACCGAGAGCATCATGGTACATGCGCTGTCGGAATTCATGCAGTCGGCAGACGATGACGACGGTGACGTCAGAGTGGCACGCGCGCATCCGTATGACGTCCGTTCATCGCGCGAGTAACGGCGATGAATTTGCGCATTCTATTTTTTTTAGGTTACTGTCTCTCTTCCTTTTTATTTCTCTCTCTCTCTCTCTATCTCTCTCTCTCTCTCTCTCTCTCTTTCTCTCTCTCTCTCTCTCTCTCTCTCTCTCTCTCTCTCTCTCTCTTTCAACAACTCTCCGTCTCTCCGTCTCTCTTTCTCTCTCCTTTCTCTCTCTCTCTTTCTCTCTTTCTCTCTCTCTCTCTCTCTTTCTTCTCTCTCCGTCTCTCGCTCTCTCTATCTCTCTCTCTTCTCTCTCTCACTCACTCACTCACTCACTCACTTTCTCACTCACTCACTCTCTCACTCACTCTCTACTTATCTCTGCTCACTCACTCTGCTCTATCTCTCTCAATCACCTCTCACTCACTCTCTCACTCACTCTCCCTATCTCTTTCACTCACTCTCTCTATCTCTAGAGGTGATGATACAGCGGTTTGATGGGAGCACAGAGGTACGTGCCGGCACGGGTAAGGAAGGCAGCAGCAACTCGGCCAAGATCCGGATGGGGGACGGACTGCTGGTGAGCATGTACACGCGCAAGCAGGGGACGATGACGATGACTACAACCTCTCCCTTACGGCGGGACCTAGGAGAAGCCGTCGCTAGTAGCATGGCATCTAAAGACACCCCGGTGAGCAAGCGCGGGCGAACGATGTTTTTGCTGTTGCTGTCGTCGTCGTCGTCGTCGTCGTCGTCGTCGTCGTTGTTGTTGTTGCTGCTGTTTTTCGTGTTGCAATTGTTTTTGTTGCTGTTGTTGTTGTTGTTTCTGTTGTTGTTTTGTTGTTGTTGTTGCTGTTGTTGTTGTTGTCATTGTTGTTGCTGCTGCTGCTGCTGTTGTTGATCACATTTTTTTTTTCGTGTTGTTGATGTTGTTGTTGTTATCGGGATACGGTTAACAGATTTCTCCATCTGTCGTCTGCTTATTTTCCTTCACGCAGCCGGCGGCGGGACGAACGTCATCGTCAGAGGTCATGACCTCACAGCAAGGTCTTCTCCGCGTCTGCCTGGACCCTCTCCGGCCACTGTCACAAGACCTCAGCGTTGACCTCTGCTACGAACTGGACGTGGTGAGGATCGGGGCGTGAAGGGTGCTAACTACGGGGTGGGGTAGGGTGGGTGGGTGAGAGGGTGGGCGGTGGTGTAGAGGGTGGGGGTGGTGTGGTGGCGGTGGGAGGGTGGGGAGAGATGTGTGGGGAGAGATAGGTGTGGAGAGATGGGTGGGGAGAGGTGTGGGAGACTGCGGTGGGGAGAGGTGGGGAGAGGTGGGGAGAGGTAGGGTGGGGAGAGATGGGTGGTGTAAGAGGGTGGCTTAGGGTAGGGTAGGTAGAGGGTTTGAGAGGTGGGGTGGGTGTGGGGCTGGGTAAAGTTACGTTTTTAATGTTAAGTTTTACTGATTTTCACTGTATCGTTGCAGCCTCCAGGCAAGAAAGTCGACAGCATCAACTGCACGTTTCTACGGCCAGACGACGATCCAGCCAAGTAAGAAATGATTTATATAAGTTTGTTCATCGGTTGGGACTCGATACACACACGCACACGCACGCACGCACGTACATACATACATACACGTACACGTACACACGTACACGCGCACGCACGCACGTACATACACGTACACACACACGCGCGCACGCACGCACACATGCACGCACGTAAACGTACGCACACACGCACGCACACACGCCCCCGACACACATGCACATACACCTCCATACATATATATATATAATATGTGTGTAGCAAAGTGGCAATAAACTCGCCTATCATTGGCCACATTACTGTTGTTGCAGAGTTTTCAGCACGCTAGGGTGCGTGCTCATCAGTCGCACAGACACTGAGGTGTGCTGCCGTTGCTTACACACCACAAACTTTGCGCTGCTGATGCAGATTTCTGACATTAAGGTGAGAGCGAGGAGATGGAACCCTCTCCTGAGAAACTGCCCGCTTAGCTTTGTTGTTATCTCCCCTCCCTGTTTCATTTCCTCCCACCCACCCTGGCTTTCCTGTTTTTAAATGCTCGCACAAATAGGTATGTGCACGGCAACGGGGTGGATTCCACGGGGATTTTCGCGTATCTCTGCGGTATCGGTCATATGCACAGTCTTATAACAGACATTTTATTTCCTGAAAATGACCGCAATTCTAGGGAAATGCTACGTAATTAGTTCACATTACAAATAACAAGAATAACAACATAACAGACAAACTTCCCATCAGTAATTAACAAGGTGGTTATACTAAGTCGAGGATCATACCTGCTAATATCTACACACCTGAATTTAGACGTAATTGCTTGCGTAGCTCAGCAAAGCGGACGAGGTCGCCCTAGAATACCTAACGATGATCGGACTCTGTCTATCTATAGTCAGTCTAGGAATCTCCATCGGCATACTGCTATGTCTACCGTACGTATACACTCATAGCTCTTCATCGTTTGTGATCGTCATGATTTGCATCATGCGGTTATAATTAGTGATAGTGTTTATTACTTAATACTTGGTTTCAACGTCATCTGGTTATCTGGCTTAAGTTAGGTACTGAGGATACACGCGTATCTGTAGCGTATCTAGCGTATACACACATATACATAATATCTGTATGATATGATCTGATATATGATATGATCTGATGTATAATATCTATGCGCGGTAGAATCACGCGCAGGTTCGTTAATTATTACCATAGAAGTATGAGATGAGATAAAGATCTAATATGGTTATTACTCTCATTTGTGTAAAATCCCCTGCTGCACTAAGGTAAGGACTCTATGCTGCACCCAACACTAGCGCCCCCGTGTGTTCACATGTGGATCTATTTATGAGTATGCGCGTGTGTATGTGTTTGTATAATTATGTGTGTGTGTTTGTATATGTGTGTATATGTGTTTGTATATGTGTTTGTGTGTGTGTGTTTGTATATGTGTGTATATGCTGTGCTGTATATGTGTTGTGGGCTGTGTGTTTGTTTTTATATGTGGGTATAGTGTTTGCTGTGTCTGTTGTATATGTGTGTATATGTGTTTCGATGTGTGTGTGCTTTGTATATGCTGTGTTAATGTGCTGTAGTATGTGTTTTGCTATATGGTGTGTATATGTGCTGTTGTGTGTGCTGTTTGTATATTGTGTCGTATATGTGTTTGTGTGTGTGTGTTGTATATGTGTGTATGGTGGTTTAGTGTGTGTGTGTGTTTGTATATGTGTGTATATGTGTTTTGTGTGTGTGTTTGTATATGTGTGTATATGTGTTTGTGTGTGTGTTTGTATATGTGTTTGTGTGTGTGTGTGTTTGTATATGTGTGTATATGTGTTTCACTTGATGTGTGTGTGTTCTGTATATGTGTGTTATATGTGCTTTGTCGTGTGTTCGGTGTTGTATATGTTGTGTATAAGGTGCTTTGTGTGTGTGTTTGATATATTGTGTTTGTGTGTGTGTGTGTTGTATCATGTGTGTATATGTGTTTGGTGTGTGTGTCTGTGTTTGTATATGTGTGTATATGTGTTTGTGTGTGTGTTCTACAGACATCTACGGTCTGAGAGAGTGTTTATACTGAAGAACCTCTGCTTTGCTCTGCTCACTGCGCAGATTCTCTTCCTTGCTGGGGTCGAGCAGGTCGACAATCACGTGAGTAGGGCGCCATCTATCGTCCGCTACACCGGTACATGCTCAAAAACTTGTCAGTTTTGCTGTTTATCCGTAAACTTTATTTTCTCTCGACAGAAAAGTGTGAGAACTCCTGAAAATAATTTCCCGACGCAATACATTAGACCCTATCTTAAGACAACATGTTTTTGTTCGCCATGTTTACCCGCCATGTTTGCTCCCGCCATATTTGCTTCCGCCATGTTTGTCTCCGCCATGTTTTCTCCCGCGCATGCGTACTAACGGCTCGCTCGCGTCTGCATGATATTCGTAGGACGTGTGCATCGCCGTGTCGGCTCTGCTGCACTACTTCTTCCTCGCAACGTTCTTCTGGATGCTGTGTCAGGGCATCAACGTACTCCTCATCGTCGCCAGCGCCCACAAACCTGACGCTGACGCACCCTCGAAGACGCAACTGATCGTCGCGCATTGCGTGATCGGTTGGGCGACGCCTGCCGTCATCGTCGGCGTCAGCGTCGCGGCAAAGACGCAAGATTACGCTCCTGGAAACTAGTGAGAATAGATTTTTGTTTTCAGTTTGCAATGTTTATACAGTGTTTGACTTTCAATTTTGACTTTCACTGATTTCTGAAAATAATGAAATTGATTTCTTTAACAAATGAACACAACTGCCGGTTTTATTTATTTTTAATATCGACTTTATCGATAAAGTATTTGATATAGATTTTATGCACTTTTGATTAAGTTTGCCCGATAAACATCACTGGGGGGCTATGACACAGTATCCCGTAGTTGTGCGTGTACGAAGTGACGTCAGCGTGACCTCCTAATAAGAATGCAAGGTCATCATGGAACGAGTAAATATAATCAATGAGTTGTAGATGTACGTCGATCCTTTACGTACGTACGACGCCCTTACGACATAGATGTGTCTAAAGCTCGGTTTACACTACCGACTTTATGTTGTTAAATTGACAAATTGGACAATTTCGCAATTCGGCAACACCGAGTTGGCGAAAATAGAACATGTTCTAATCTCCCAACTAGTTGCTATTGACCAGTTGCTCGCGCGACTTTTGCGTTTACACTAGCGATTGTCGGTTGTATAGTTGCGAAATTGGTCCAATTTGCCAATTTGACAACATAGTCAGTAGTGTAAACCCACTTTAAACACGCCATCAGTGTACTCATCTCGTGCGCGTTGTTGTACTGCTCTCCAGCTGTTGGCTCTCGAACGAGACAGGACTAATTTACGCCTTCGTTGGACCGGCCATGTTCGTAGTACTGGTAAGAGAAAGATCGTCTGTGCCTGCCAGAAATTTGTGCATTTTTGCATGTCATCTGGAATTGCATAAGTTGCTTATTTTGGGAGGTAGCACGATATGTAGGCCTACCCGGATATCCGGATGTACGACATATTATAATTGAGTGGGTGGTAATCGTGTGTATCAAAATCATTATTGGTTCTTAAAATCAGGCGAATTTGCTTAAAATCTCTTTAGAGGGTTAAGAAATGAGGGTAAAAAGAACTATTTGGAATTCAATCCAACGTCAATCAAAAATTACAACGTAAATGCCGAATCAGTTCTTCGCCTCGAGTCCTCACACACATTCTTCCTGCCGCAGATAAATACTATCATCATCGTTGTCGCCATCGTCAAGTTCGCGGGTCTGCGTAAGCATGGCGTGCAGTACGAGCGGCAGCAGCAGAAGGCCGTAGCAGGTCTGCGGGCAGGTGTCGTGCTCATCCCCGTGATGGGACTTACTTGGATCTTCGGCCTGATGGCGTTTAGCGAGGCGACCATCGCGTTCCAGTATCTGTTCGTGATCCTTAATACCACACAGGTAAGCAGGCGCCCACCGCCAGCTTGTATCAGTTACCAAGGTGATAATGGGTAGAGAGAGAGAGAGAGAGAGAGAGGGGGGGGAAGACGGGGAGATTTTTGACAGGTGACATTTCCGTGACAGGGCGTCACCATCCTGATTGTCGGCGTCATAATGAACGAGGAGGTGAAGGCGGAATACCGTAGAGTGGCGTCATCCAAAATCGATGAGTCATCTGGCCCGACGATGATGGTCAACCTCCGATCAGGAGACATGCAGTTATTCAAGCAGCCGATTGATAACTGGGCTGAGTGATTTAGCTCCCCCTGGTGATCCAGGAGAATTCCCATTCTATTTCTTTTATTCTAAATATTTTCTGATTTGAATATTTTTCGAATTTTTTTGTATTTTTAGTCATTTTGTTTATTTTATTGCATTGCATTCTATTCTATTCTATTTTATTATAATTTACTTTTTTATATGATCTAATTTGTTGTTGTTTCATCTTACTCTAAATTATTTTGCTGTGTAACGTAAGAAGAACGCAGGAAGGAAACCCTTAGTAATAATATGCATGTTTATTAACTTCGTGCTATGGTATCCGACATGTAATAATTAGTCACTATATGCTAACTCGTGTACGCTGCACTTTACGTACGTAAACCAATTATTCTGTTAATCATCTGTTAATCATCGTCCGATAATTAGACGAAGACTTAAAATACAGGATTAAACGCTATGATGTTAATCAAGAGGGATCAGAGGTGAATGACCGGGCATTTAATGATGTCTGAGTTCTATGTGTCTGAATTATTATTGTTGACCAGCTAATCATCGTACGTGCGAGGGAACCGCTTCCGTTAGTACGCACACACGCACGCACAAACGAACGAACGCACACACATCGCAAAACTGCACTATCTGCGATTGCATGGTGTCGATTTTAGAATACTTACGTTCATGAATGGATGAGAATTAATTTGGATGTTAATTAAATACTCGTAGTACCCTTCCTTAAGATTTGTCGCAAAATTCATCAAAAACGTTTTTGCTCGAGCCAACGTGAATATTTGACGCACAGGTCAGACGACAGGTGGCGCTCATAGGCGTCTGCGAGAGTCCGTAACTACAACAAACCCGGCGAAAGAATGTCGTCTTGTTCCAGAAAAAAAACTTACCAGCAAGCAACTGCTACAAACATCCACGCGTCCATTTCTCCTCATCAGCCGCACGAGCATGCATAATTTTCGCCGGAGATAATTAGCGAAAGTTGATTAAGACTTAATTAGCAAAATCTCATTCGCTCGATATATAATATCGGAGCAGAATGCCGGAAATCTCAAGACCCTGTAGTACACGTAATCACTGCGGTATCATGATTCATATCGGCTCGAGCAATATCTCGCTATACAGATACAGTCTTCTGCAGACACCTCTGACCTTTACTGAACAACAGTCTTGTTGATCTTCGTAGTGACCACGCTTGCCTCGCTTAATCATAATCCTATTGCCTGCAGGTATCAGGTGATTTGCCGAGTCACGAGCGGTGTAAACAGTCTAAATTTGAGGCTGTGCTATGGATCAGGCATCACGTCTTATTGGTTTTCCGAATCGGGTTTGAGACTAATCAACCTCTTATAGCTGTCCAATTAACTCTTAGCTGTCCAATTAACTCTTAGCTGTCCAATTAACTCTTAGCTGTCTAGTTGACTCGCAGTTTAGTGATTTTCTCGTGGCTAACGAATGAACTTTTAACTCATTAATTATAAACTCGTAGCTAAATCAGAATATGCACGTGAATTTATGAAGTTCTACGAGGACGCCCACTTCCCTCCCCCACACACACCCCGCGAACGCACGCACGCACGCCACGAGGCACGCACGCACGCACGCACGCCACACGCGCACGCGACGCCACGCACTAGGCACGCACGCAGCGCACGCACGCACACGCGCACACGGCACGCACGCACGCACGCACGCACATACACAGGCCCTACACACACACATACGCATACACACACACACACACACACACACACAGCCCACACAACACAACACACACACACACACAGCACACACAACACACACACCACACACACACACACACACACACATGACACAACACACACACATCACGCGCGCGGAAGCGCGCGCACGCACGCCACGCACACGCACGCACGCCACGCAACACACATATATATACACGCAGCGGCACGCACGCACGCACACACACACACCGCTCTTGCCCGCTTGCCGCGAAAATGTCGATCAGCCTATTGGTGGATTCCCGTAGCTGATCGATAGCGCTGTTACGATAAAGTCAGTCGCCAGTCTGACGTCACCGGACGAGTAATTAGTCCGAGGGCTGCGTCAGCTTTGCAGCGATTGCAGGTGACTCGGTGTGTTGCGCATCCTCTACATCCACGCACTCACGCCTCATCATTCACGCCGAAAGCGTCAAAGCATGTGATAGCGACACTTACAAGAAATTACGACACCTGAGCTGGGGGAACGCGACACGCACGCCAGTGCGCCGTACACACGCACGCAATAGACACACGCGACGCACACTGCGCACGCACGCCCGCACGCACACCACACAGCACACACCTACACACACCCACACAACACCCACACACACACCACAACCACTACACACACACACACACACACACACAACACACACACACAGTGCACACACCACACACACACACACCACACATACACACACACACAACACACACACAACACACTCACACACACACACACACCACACACGCACACAACACCCACACACACACACACACACACACACACATCGCACACACACACACACACACACACACACACACACACACACACACCACACACACACACACCCACACACCACACACAAAACACACACACACACAACACACACACACACACACCACGTTTTCGCGCGCACACGCACGCACGCACGCACACCACACACACACACACACACACACACACACACACACACACAACACACACACACACACACCACACACGCACAATGCGTACTGTCGCGCGGACACACCGGGTCGTGCTCTTGCCTGCGTCCCCCCCAGCGTATACATTGTATGCGACGTGTCGCACTCTGAGCAGCAGATACGTGTATTTCTATTCTCGCCATATAGCGTTAGCGCTAGAGCCGTCTATGTCCCCCGGGGTACTGCCGAACTTACCCTGGACGGGCCCCGGTATACCGCGAACGTACCCTGGTACTATCTAATATGCCCGGACCGTACTTCGCCTACTCCACTAACGAGTCGTTGAGCGGAGTCGAGCCTACTCCCTAACCCATAACTCTAGTCTAACCCTACCCCTAATCTTCAACCTTAATCCTAACCCTAACCATATCAAATAGTGACCAGGGTACGTTTCCGGATACCGGACCGTACCCAGGGTACGTTCCGGCAGTACCCTGGGGGACATAGACCCTATGAGCATAAGTAGCATTGATTTGCATAAGGAACGCTGATTGTCCTGTTGCCATGGCGATAAACACGGGCGCTAATTGGATATCTGGAGCGTTGGCGCGAAATCTGAAGGAACAGCGAGATTCGTCATGGTACAAGCTCGCCAATGTACAACACGAAATGTATCTTATTATAATTATGCAGCTTTACAAGTAAATTCATTGAGAATTTCCTTTAGTGAGTGTGAGAGCAATAGCGCACACTACCACATATATTAGCATCCTTTCACTGCTTCTTGACAACGCTAAACAGTGAATATTGAATATTAGCGTATTATTCCCACGCTCAGTGTTGTTAAGAATTGTGTAGTGTACTCTGTTACTAGTCTTACTCAGCCATAAGTGTTGTTTTTTATGTTTTGTCACTTTGTTCATTTTTGATCGTCACTTAATAAAGAGTAACCATATCAGATATAAAATAAATTACATTGCGTATAGCTTTCTGAATGTCTACATCAATTTAATCCATACACCGTTCACGGTAGATACGTGTAGTAAACATCGCTGTACATACTTTGTCATATAACCTCACGCACATTTACAGCGTGGCAGCAGATATATATACAGCAGATATATATATATATATATATATATATAGCGTTGTTGTGTGGTCGGTCTATAGAAATATATAGAGACACTATATTATTTAGTGTCTTTATTATACAGAGTCTACTTGTATGGGTTGGGCATGCATTGTCAGGCCTCGCATGTCTCCTTGCGCCATGTTGCAGTGCTGTACCCATGTCATTATTATGTTAGGCAGTTGTTGTAAAGCAGTATTTACAGAAGCGTGTGGAGCGGGCGTGCTCAAAACCGCCGCTCGAGATCAGTGGCGCTTAATTACTGCTGCCTACTATCTGAGTGAGGCAAAAGCCGTATATGATGCCGATGTTGCCAGCATCATCATTATGCAGTAGAGAGAGAGGGGGAGATAGATAGAGATAGAGAGGGGGAGATAGATACATAGATAGAGAGGGGGAGATAGATAGATAGATAGATAGTTAGATAGATAGATAGATAGATAGATAGATAAGATAGATAGAATAGATAGATAGATAGATAGATAGATACGCATAGATAGATAGATATATTAGATAGATAGATAGATAGAGATAGAGATAGATTAGATAGATAGATAGATAGCTTAGATTAGATAGATAGATAGATAGATAGATAGATAGATAGATAGATAGATAGATAGATAGAATAGTAGATAGATAGATAGATAGATAAGATAGATAGAGATAGAGATAGAGAATAGATAGATAGATAGATAGATAGATAGATAGATAGATAGATAGCATAGATAGATAGATAGATAGAATAGATAGATCAGATACGATACGATAGATAGATAGCATAGAGATAGCAGATAGAGAGAGAGACGGGGGAGATGGATAGATAGAGATAAGAGAGACAATCCCTCTTCGCATGAGAGCAGGCATAATAAAGGCGGAGAGGAGGCGGGAGGAGAGCAGAGAAAAATGTGATGAGAAAGGATTGAGAAGGAAGGAAGCTTAATATATAGCGCCACCAGCGTCCGCCACAAGGATCCTCTGCTAGCAGCAATCTGAACCTACGTGTATCTGATGTGTGTGGCGCTGTGTGGGTGTGTGTTGTGTGGCTGTGTGTGCTGTGCTGTGTGTGTGTGTGTGTGTGTGCCGCTGCGTGCGCTGCGTGCATGCCCGTGGGTGTGTGCGTGCCGTGTGCGTCGCGTTGCGTGCGTCGTGCTGCGTGCCCGTGCCTCGTGTGGTGTGGGGGGCTGTGTGTGTGTGTGTGTGTGTGTGTGTGTCTGCCGTGCGTGCTGTTCGTGCCGCGCGCGTGTGGTGTATATATTGCGTGCGTGACCGTGTTGTGTGTCGCGC